TTGTAGATGCCACCTGTGCACTAAGGGGTCCTGTCTTCTAAGGGCCTCTTCCTGGTCAGTGGTATGGCCAGAGGAAGGTCTGGGAGGGCAAAATAGTTTCCCCCAAAGCTGCACTCTAGCTGCAGACAGCATGTCTTTGGGCCACTGGCAGCCACGGAAAAGAATCCAGGCTTTCAGAGTAAAAAAATTGGTTCACACTCTGACTCCATCGTTTCTTGGCTAGTTGGCCTGGAAAGAGTCATGGAAATACCCTGACACTCAGGGCTCATCCGGAAAATGGGGATAATAATAGGCAAATGAGGAGCGAGATGGTGTAAGTTCAGGGCCTGACGCGCACCCAGCACTCAGTGAATGTTAGTTTTCTTCCCTTTCCCCGTCTCTCTGATAAATGCTCTATTAGGCCAGCACACCCGACAAAGCCTTATCTGAAAATATGTTCGAGATCCGTGCTCCTGCCGGGTTTCAGGGATCGGCCAGCAATCCATTTCATGGATAACATCATCCTTTACCAGGGAAACATTAAAAATTAACCCAGAGGACTTCATATTTTTCTGCTGGGAGCGAAGCTGCTATGGTTACCAGATAAAGCACAGACTGAGCTAGAATACAGATAAGGACCTTTTCTTTTTCTTTTTTTGTAAGAAAGGCAAAGGCCCCCGTGATGGCTCACCGGAGAACTGCCCTGCGGACAAAGAGAATACGATCAGCCTCAGAGCTGGCTTGGCGGAAGGCCTGTGACTCCAGGCAGCATCTAACCTACTAAGTGGAGGCCAGGAGCATGTTTGATCCTTGCTTGGACGAGGCAGTCAGGGAGAGGCAGCCATGACAAGTGGAAGACAAATCTAGGAGAAATTGGAAGTGCAAGTGCACCCCCAGGCTCCACATTTTGCCACACACACACACACAAACATATATACATATGTACATATGCACACACCTTGACTTTGGAATGCTCTAAGCCCGTGGTTGGCAAACGGCGGCTCGCGAGCCACATGGGGCTCTTTGGCCCCTTGAGTGTGGCTCAACCTTGGCTGCACATTAGAATTACCTGGGAATTTTTAAAAATCCTGATTTCTGGGCCTCATCCTCTGGAAATTCTTTCTTTGTTACTAATGTTGTGGCCCCACCCCATAACAAAGAAACAGGAGACAGGGCCCCTATCAGACTAGTCATGCCCCCTCCATGCTCCCTTTGCTGCCTCCCAGCACACTGACTGTGTGCCTACGAGGTGCCACCCTCATTCTTGCCTCTGCACAGGAGTGGTCTGGGAACCTGCCTGGGCGCTCCTGCAGGGCAGAACCTAGGTCTTCACCGCCTTGTGCTCCCAGGGCCCACAAGGCCTGGCACGTCCAGTGTTTCCAGCACTGAACTCAAGGTGGAGAGTCGGCCTGTCGGCAGCAGGAGGGGGACTAGGCAGGCTGTGGCGTCGTGGGAGCCACTTTAAGCTTTTGGTCAGTTCTTTCCAGACTCTTTATGGGAGCAAAAGAGCCAAGAGCACAGCTTATACATGGGTTTGGACAAGAGCCTTCGGGGGAGCAAAGGTACTTGGGGCCAGTAAGATCAAACGCAAGGAGAGAATGCCCGGGGAGGTTGGCCAGGGCCCTGCGTCCAGCCACCTCCACCTGGGGGAGGCTTTCCCCCGGAGGCCAGCAGGAGCGCGCCCCGGAGGCTCAGCTTACGTCCATCAGGGCCGCGTTGATGTAGTTGCTGGATTCTCCGTCCACCGAGATGAGAAAGGGCAGGCAGCGGTCGAGAGGCAGGACATCCATGCTCCGGTTCTTATCGTGGTTCCGAGGCAGGAGCCCGATGCTGCAGTCCTCGGGCCGGATGTGGGGTGTCACGATGTTGAGGGTCTGTGGGCGCAAAGGTGGACAGACAGACACAGCTCAGCTGCTCGCTGGAAACCGAGGGGCAGTGATGTGCAAAGTCAGCCTCCCCCCATCTCCATCCTCCCAGCTGGGCACTTGGTGCCTTTCCCGGGATGGATTTTCTTCTGTGGTGATTCTATCATCTGCTGGCCTCTCCAGCCCTGTGCCACGCTGCCAGGGCTCAGGGGCTCCGACACAGCGCCCACCTCCTGCCAACCATCTGAGCTAAGCTGCTCATCTCAGCCAGCGCTGCACTAAAGGGCGGGCCAGCCAGGAGGCCTTAAGGTGAGGATGGAGTTAGGGAACCTCTAATGAGGGTTAAATATCTCGTAAAGTGTCATCGAATGGGGGACATAGTTTTTCCAGCATGCCTCTCAGAGGGAAAGTAGAGAATAGAGATGCCTGGGTGAGCTGCGCAGGGTGGGTGAGACCCCGGGGGGGTGGGGGTGGGGCGCATGGCTTGTGCTCTGCAGAGTAAGTCTTGCATGTACAGGGCCGGCGCTGAGCTGCCCAGCCAATGACTCGCTGTGCCCATACCTGAAATTCGTCTTTGATCTGGCTGGAGTTGGTCTGGGGGTCCAGCCTGCTGATGTTGTAGTAGAGGGAGCGGAACTCACACACGGGGATGGCGGTGTTGCCGCAGAGGCACGCTTCCAGGATGGCATCGTGCACAAACACGTACTGCTCCTGCAGCGGGAACAGGGCCCCGGTCAGAGCAGCGCTGGGACTTTGATGCCCACACTGCATGCTGTGGCTGTGGGGAGGGGCGTGACCGAAATCGCAGAATCGCTACTTTCCATCCTAGAACCGGAAGGCCCAAGTTTCCATGTTTTTTGGTGGCTGCCTGAGCTACAATGACTCTTGTCCCTTGTGAGACTGAACAGCACAGTCACTGGTAAAAGTCAGACATGTGGACGTGCTGCAGCAGGTACCCTTGGTGTCTTGCCTGTGTCCCCTCAGCGGTCACCGTGACCTGCTGGAGGCTGCTGATGCAAGTGCCTGGCATTCAGGCCGAGGGCTTTTCCTGGTCCCAGGGGCACCCCTGAGCTGCGTGCAGTGTGAGCCCGAGGGCGGAGAGTTAATGCCCCAGGAAGGAGCCTCCAGCGATGCCAGGTGGAGAGTAGGGGGACGAAGACCTAGGTCCCCCTCTCCTCGGTGGGTCAATGTGCTCCCCACTATCTCAGAGCCCCCATGGCTGGTTCCAGGTGTACATGGTGTCAGAGAACTTGGCACACACCTTACCAAGGTCCGGAAGCTTGCGTTCTCCCCACCCCCACTCTCAGTGTGCCTAGGGATCCCTCCCACTAATCCACTTGCCCTCAACCGCTAGTCTCAGGGGCTGCTCCTAAAACATGTGACCCCCTGTGCCATCTCAGCTCTCTGCACCTCGCGGTTCTCCTGGGCACCACCCCCGCTTCTATGCCTCAATGTCTCACTTCCTCTGGAAAGTCTTCTCTAAATTCACCAGGAGGAAGTTGGCGCTGTAACTTCCTTCACAAAGGTTTGCTGAGTGACTGTTTTCTGCAGAACTTGGCCCAGCTCTTTATATGAAATGCTTATCCGGATGCATAAAGATGATGTATTTGAATGTGCGTCTCCCCCACTAGACAGCAAGGACCACAATGTGTCCAATGAGAGCCAGCCGTCCGCATGCCTGCACCTGGGGCCAGAGGAGGCCTCTTGGCTTAGCAGCCTCACCCAGAAGCTGGGACTGCCCGTGGGAGCTGGCTCAGAGCCCACAGCAGGGCCCTACATGGACAAGCCTGCCAGCGGGGGCCTCCCTGCAGAGCCAGCAGCACCTGACCAAGCCCAAACCGTGGGCAGCTTCCCTCTGCAGGGCTGACGACGGAAGCAGCTCTGTCCCATGCTGCCTGTCCTGGCTCCCACAGCCTCGCTCAGACAGAAGAGGGCAGTTACAGGAATAACAAACCAAGGCTCCAAGGAGTAGGGGCAGCTGAAGAGGCTGCCTGGCGAGAAAGTGTGATTCAGGGGGAAGAGCATGCCCAGAGGTCACACCAGCCCGAGCTCTACCATGATCTGGCTATGGGAGACTTTGGGGACACAGTTGCTCAGTTTTTCCATCTGTAAGTGGGGGTGCAAATAGGATTTACCCCATAGAGTTGTTGTGAGGAGCAGAAACAATTTCCCGAATGCAAAGAACCTAGCATGATGCTTGGCACATAGTACGTGCTCCACAATAATGATGAGCCCCTCCCAGTTCCCTGGGTCTTGGGCTCAATAACTGGACAGAGGGGTGCCTGAAGGCCTGCTTCACCTCAAAGGCAGGGACTGTGTGTTCTCAGTAAGTTCACTGATTAAGCCATTCCGGCAGTGACTGAAGCAATGCTGGGCACAGAGTAGGCACTCAGTATATGCTAGTCCTTCCCTATCTCTTCTCTCTCTCACCCAAGTCGGCGATGCTATTCATTCAGTCCCTGAGCAGATGGGCTCAGAGATGGGGAACTCGCCACCACTCCTCATTGCTGAAAATCTCTGAACTGTGGGACACTGGGGTTGGCAGGGGTGCCCTAGCTTCAATGATGGTCTCACCACAGCAAGCCACCTACTCACTCACTGCCTTTTCTCTCACTCCCAGGTCCCTTTCTATAGGATGCCACCACCCACACTTCTCCTTGGCCAGGACTGCAGGTGGCCGGCTGGCTCAGGCCCCAGGACCCAGGACCCACCTCCGTCTGCACAAGGTTGACCCTCTGGGCTCGGAGCTCCCGCACACAGTTGAAGATGTCCACCACCCCTTCGTTCTCAGCCATGTCGAGCATGGTGTCAATGGCGATGAAGCAGCCGGTCCGCCCAGCCCCGGCGCTGGAAGAAAGGACAGGGTCTGTGTCAGGGACCGTGGGGCGGGACCAGCCCTGGGAGGCTCCTCACACTCAGCCCTGTCACCAGGACCCTGCAGAGGTGTGCGTTGCGAACGTCAGAACTGGGAGATTCCGATCAAACTGCAAGCCCAGTTCTCTCTTTTATAAAATGGGAGAATACTATTTGCTTTTGGGGCTATTTTGTCAAGATTGGCTTATTTTTGTTGAATGCATTTAGCAAACACTCACTTGGCACTTGCAAAGTACCAGGCATTTGTCTAAGTATTTCACCAATGCTACTTATTAATAATTCTCTTATGAGGTTGTTAGGAAGTTTCTCACCCCATTTCACAGGTGAGAAAACTGAGGCACAGGGCGCTTACATTGTGTGATGTCACACAGCCGGCTGGTGTTGCAGCTGGGACTTAACCCAGGCAGTCTAGCTCCAGAGTCTGTGCTCTGCCACTTCCTTCTTAATAACAGTCATTGCACATACTCATGCTTAAACACACACATGTACATGCTTACACTCACGTATGCATAGTTTCCTCACCTGATGGTCAAAGATAACCCATCTAAAAGGTACCTAGCACACTGCGGATGCCTAATAAACATGTTCCCCAACTCTCTCCCTCCATATCACCCTTTCTTTTATCTTCTTCAATAAATGGGTTGATAGATGGAAGCCAGGAAGGAGAGGAGGGAAATCGGAGAGCAGGTGAGTGAGAGGGCAGAAACCAGCTCTTCGGCACTGTCCCAAAGGCAGAGACTGAGTCCCAGCCCTGGGTTTGGCTCCCCCTGCACCTGCTCCCCTGGATCATGAGGCAGTGCCCCCAGGAACTCAAAGAGCTGACGCCCTGAGAGCCTGGTCTGGTATCAGGTCTCCTGATCCACACTCGATTCTGATGGCTGGTGGCTTCCTTAGGAGAATCTCAGACCAAGCACAAAATGGCAAATAATAATAATAATAATAGTAGTAATAATAATAATAATAATAATTAATGATAATAAAAAATCAAGGAGACCCCATGGACCACGGCTGCCCTCCCCAGATCGGTGCTGGGTTCCAAAGTCATGGTGGTGAGTGGAGGCCACTGTAACGTTTGCCTTAGAGCAGAGGTCCTCAAACTTTTTAAACAGGGGGCCAGTTCATTGTCCCTCAGACATTCCACATATGCACACTGCGGGCCTGGGACGAGTCGGCTGCTAAGCAGGACAGGCAGCGGCAGCAAAAACACCCGGTGGGCCGGATAAATGTTTTCGGTGGGCCGCATGTGGCCCGCGGGCCGTAGTTTGAGGACCCCTGCCTTAGAGGCACACAGTTTTGGAAGCGAAGGCCAGACTGCCAGGGAGGCCGCCACGGCTGCGTTTTCGTCTGGCTTCCCTCATGGACGAGTGTCTTTGACTCACAATGTGGAAATGAAAGGAACACAAAGAGGAAGAACGATGGGCCGTAAGGAGAGCGATGCTGGCTGAGCGTGAATCCAAGCAGGACAGGGAGTAGGACCGTCGCCAACAACGATGGGAGAGCAAAGCCCTGGAAACGCATCCTCGATCCGGAAAGTAGCCCGTGGGAAGCAGTCTCCACTCAGGGCACAATGCCACGGTTTGAATGAACTTCCCTACAGCACTCCATCCCCCACCGATCCAGATCCCTCAGACCAGACGTGGGGGCTGGCCCTCGTGGTCTAAGAGCCACCCCAGCCAGGTCTTCTCTGAAGTCTCACCCTGGACCTGTTTGAGGGGAAAGAACTAACCTGACTCGATTTTGGACCTTGGATCCCTCACTAGTGAACAGCTGCCTGGCGCCCATGAGCTCAGTTTTCTTCCACGTACAACACACCTCCGGGCAGGGTTCTCTGGGAACCGAGCTGTGTTGATTTCAGCATCAGGCAGCAATTAAGCCCATGCTATTGGGGGTCAGAACCCTGGGGATCAAATTCTTACTCTGCCACTTCCTAGCTGCGTGACCTTGGGTAGATGATCCAACCGCTCCGAGCGTCAATACCCTCATCTTTAAAATGAGGCTGAAAATAAAATAGACCCACCATCTAGCGTTAATAGCACAATACATGTAAATTGCATGAAATTATGTTGAAAAAGCATAATCCATGTAAATTGCTTTGCCCTTCGCCTGGCTACATAGCAATTTCTCAGTGAACGGTTGCTACTTATATTCACGAATATTTATTGAGCACCTATTAGGTGGGCATTAGAGGCTGGGTTTGGGAGTGGGGACATGAGGATGAGTGAGACATGGCTCCCGTCCTGCAGGATGAGTGGGCTGGAGTGGGGGCAGCAGTAGGAGGCAGAGAATGTCCGGAATCCTCTCTGGCACCTCGTATATGTTGGCCACCCATTCGATCTTCAGAAGCGCCTCAGGGGCAGGGCCAGTCTGCACAGGGGCATTAAGGTGACTGGCTGTGGAGACAAGACCTCGTGCAGGGAGGACCTGTAACTGTTTGCCATGGTCTCCCTTGCCCAGCTCCGGCTGCGCTTTGGGGCATAGGACTTGAGGGCTAACATTCTGTTGTCATTGGATTGTAAAGAGATGGTAAGCGGAGACTATATGTAAAGCTCTCAGAGAGCCCAGGGTGTGTGATGCGTATGACCTCCTAACCCTCAATGGCCTCATCTGTGAAATGTGATTTCTAATTCTCACCTCTGCGTGGCGGGCAGGGGCCATGATGCTATGTGAGGAAGGGCTGCCTCTGAGACATCCTCCTTGACTTGTCCCTGACTGACGGGGCTGTGCCAGGCCAGGGCCGAGATAGCCTGCCTGCAGGGCCTGAAGGACGGGCTGGCCCAAAGTCACGCTGGAAAAGAGAGTCCCTGGGAAGGAGGCGGGGAGGGTGCAGGCCAGCCAGCTCTCAGGTTTGGACGCCCACTCTCCTCCAATTCTTCAAGTCCTTGACACAGTGCTCCATCTCCATTTAGGAGGATTCAAAGATGTGCTAGTCATTCCCAATGTGACTTCCCAGGTCGGAGCTGAAAATATCTCTTTTCTACAATAAGGTGAAACCTGGCGCTGTCCATTTTCTCTCTATTAGGGACCCTGCAGACTGGAAATTGATTTTTAAAATAATAGAAATGAAAAGAAGCCACTTCCTCTGAGACACTCCGCTCCCACTTCACAGAGCTGAGGGCAAGCGTCTGGAGGAAAGCAGGCTAGATGTCCCAGCTCGGTACACCTGTATGACCCAGGCCAAGTGTCTACCTGCTCGGTACTTCAGTGTTCTTATCTGTAAAATGGGAACGATAATGGTGCCCACCTGTCAGTGTCGGGTGAGAAGTAAGTTAAATAATGTCGGTAAAGGGCACATATAGAAGATGCTGTCTTGCCCTGGCCAGTTTGGCTCAGTGGATGGAGCGTCAGCCTGCGGACTGAAGGGTCCCAGGTTCGATTCCGGTCAAGGGCACATGCCAGGGTTGTGGGCTCCATAACAATGAGTGCTACCGCCACTCCTATTGTTCTTCTGAGACCTCAGGACCTGGGCCTTATCAGAAAGCACTGGGCACAGTGGACAGACAGGGGCCATGGACAAGATGGTGTCTCCCTCCCCGAGAGCAGATCTTTCAAGCGGGGGCGGCTGGGGGACTTTCACTTACCTGCAGTGAACCACGATGGGCCCGGCTTCGGGGGGGTTGAGGAACTTGACTTGGCGGACAAAGCCCAGGAGGCCAGTGGCATAGCAGGGGACGCCGTGGTCGGGCCAGCTGGTGAAGTGGAAGAGGCGGAGCTCCCGGATCTCGTGGTAGCCTTTCTGAGGAGAGAATGGGCCTCTGTTCCTGCAGCTGCTGCCCCCATACACCCTAGCCAGTGCCATGGGGCGCCACGGCTGCGGCACCGAGGAACCAGTCTCCTGCTGTTGGGGAGGCAAGGCCCTCAAAGGGTTAACAGGTGCCCCTGCACAGAGGGTCTGTGGTCTGCCACATCTGGGAGCTTGGGAAGTAAAGTGAAAGTGATTGCAGTACTGCAGGACTTGTCAGAGCCTTTAGTGTGCTAATATTCATCTGGCTCCCCAAGGGGGTGTATTGTGACACCCCAGAGTTGCCCAAGGACCTTCTTTTGACAAGTGTTGCATGGAACTTGTATCCAGCAGAACAGATTCAGAGAAATGTTGGCCTTAAACACCAAGTTCAAATCATTTCCTGTGGAATATGAGGTCTTTCAGTGATTAGGTCTGGGGTCCTTCAGTTCCCAGTCCTGTCTATGACAGTTTCCGTGGCTTTAAAATAAATTAGCAGGCTTGTAATCAATTAGATTATTATTTAGAATGATAAGATATTGAACAAGTAAAAGTGGAGCTTCTCTGACGGATGGGTGTGTGTGAGTGTGTGTGTGGGGAGAGGGGGGGCAGGCTAGAGCTCCGCTTGGTTTCCCTTCTCCTCTCACCACCCCTCACACAGACACCTCCAGTCCAAGTGACGTTCCATGACTATTCTATGGTCAGGCCATACCTCTGAGCCTTTGCTTATGCAGTGCCCCTACCTACTGTTTCCACTTAGCAGTCTCCTGCAGATATCTGGATAGCACTGAATAGGAAGCATGTCCAATTGTTCATTCTTCCAGTTAAAGAATATTCTCTGAGGGTTATCTGTGCCCGACCACTAGGAAGGTGTAAATAAAAGCCTCTGTCCCTGGAACAGCTCATGATCTAGTCAGGGAGGTAGACTCCCAAATGGATAATTCTATTAAAGTACAAAAGGAGTGTCAGCTAACCCCTTCTGGGGAGAGGAGAAATCAGAGAAGGCTTCCTGGAGGAGGTGATGCCTGAACTGTATCTTGAAACATACTGATACTGAAAATAATGGCTAACATTTATTAATCATAGACTAGGTGCCTGGCACTCTCTGAACCCTTCCATGTATTAATTCACTGAATTGTCATACCAATCCTCATACTGTTCTCTCTTTTTTTTATGGATGAAGAAATTGAGGCTAAACAAGGTTAAGTAACAGGCCCAAGGTCACACAACTAGTAAATTGTGAAGTTGCAATCTGAACCCTGGCTGTTGGCTCCAGTCTGAACTCCTAGGCATTGTGACACACTGATGCCTGCGTGTGACCTGGTGAAGAGATGGAGATGGATTCCTAGGCAGAGAGGCAGCGCAGGCAAAGCATGGGGACAGGACTTTGCACGATATGTGCACCGAATCGCAAACAGCCCAGGGCAACTCCCGAGGAAAGTGGAAGACAGGCGAGGGCATACAGCAGGACTGGATCTTGGAAGGCCTGGAATTCTACTTGAAGGCCTTTAGACTTTGTCCCAGAAGCGCTGGGGAGCACTAGGGAGGTTGCCCAGATGGTGGCACAAAGAGGCATCAGACTTGCATTTTGGGAGGATCACGCCAGCTACTTTGTGGAGGCTGGATTTGGCTGGGTGTGTTGGAGGGCTGTGTAGAGGGCACTGTTGATGCCCACCCAGATCCCCTTTCCTGGGCCAGGGTACCTCCTGGCTACTCTGAGTGTGGGCTCCAGACAGCTCAGAGTAACCCACTTATTCAGAGAATTGCTCTCAACCCAAAAGGAGCCACCTCCCCTGGCTGGGGTGAAACTTAGAGTGACCAATTGACTCTGATGGTCTTCCCAGGACTGAGGGGTTTCCCAGGAAATGGCACTCCCAGTGCTAAATTCAGGAGGGTCCTGGGCAAACCAGGATGATGGGCTACCCTAATGGGGTACCAAGGCCTCTTGCCCAAGGATGGGATCATCTCTGTGGTGCAGTTCATGCCCCCGAGCTCCCGGTGGGACCAGGCTGAGGCTAGGCTCCAGCTGAGACCAACACCCTCACTGGCTCCTTCCCTGCCTGCCTCGCCTGCCTCCCTCCCTCCCCTTCTCAGCACACCATCAAGGGAACCCGAATCCTATCCTCAGGCTCTGCTTCTTGGAAACTCAAACTGCAACACAGCAAGGCCAAAGGCAGGAAGCCCTGCTCAGAGGCTGCTGCAGAGAAAGAGCTGAAGTGGGAGAAGAGAAAACAGCTTCAGGAATACTTGGAGTTTTTCTCTCCATCCTCTGAGGCCAGGGGTCAACTCTAAGCCACGGTTTATGCTCCGGAGGCCCCTGTAAATCAGGCTAGTCTTCCCCTCCTCTCTTCTGCTTCCCTTCCTCCCTTACAAGTTTCTCTCCAGAGTGGTCCCTAGATAAACCATGTGCATCCGAATCCTTGTCTCAGGCCCTGCTTCTAAAGGACCCGATCTAAGACCACATCGAGGTACCTGTGGTCCTCCTTCCAGTGGGGGCGCTGCAGGGAGCAACCTGTATGTCCAGTACTCAGCTGTGCACACAGGACCGGCACGGTGCAAGGGGCCAGCTTTGGTGCTCAGGAGGACTTGTCAAACCCAGATGGCATGGCTCTCAAGGCACTGAAGTCCCCGGTGCTTCTGCATCGCCAGGCCTGTGGCCACTGGACCCTGAATGCTGCTGCTTTTGGAAAGTGGCACTGGGGTGGAGTGGAGTGACCATGAGCTTCCAGTCAGGGGCTCATGCATGAATCCTGGTCTGGCCGCCCTGCAGCTGGGCCACTTTGCACAACTGACTTCAACACTCTGCCTAATTTTTTCATCTATAAAATGGGAGTAATCATCAGACCTACCTCAAGGGGTTGTTGGAGGATTACATGAGTTCATTTATGCAGCGCAGTTAGAAAAGCACCTGCTTAGTGAGTGCTCACTAAATGGTAGCCATCACTACAATAGTTATATAATAACAACGGTTCTGTAATACTTAAATCATAAATAGGAATAATAATTTTCAATCCAATTCCTGTTCTCAAGCTCCTGCCACCCTGGCCTCCTTTCAGTGCCTAGACCAGCATTTCTCAATCCCAACGCTGTTGGCAATTGGGGCTGGGCTATCCTGTGCATTGCAGGATGTTCATCAGCATCTCTGGCCTCACCCCCTGGAGGCCAGTAGCTCCCCTCCTTCCTCTGTTTTGACAACTGAAAATTGCCGAAGGTCCCCCATGGGACAAAACCACCCTGAGGTGAGAACCACAGGCCTAGAACATGCCAGAAAAGTCCACCCCCCTCATTATTTGCTTAATAATGGCTCCTCCTCCAGGCAGCCCTCTCTGACCACCTCATCCCCCCATCTCCACTCGTGGCATGTTGCTTTCGTGGCTTTTATCACAACGTGCCATTATTACTTTTCTTAGTCTGATGAATGCTGTCCATCCCTCTCGCCGGAGGTGGGATCCTCTGGAGCAGGAGCTACATCTAACTCAATCGCCAATCTGTCCCTGGGACCAAGCACGGGATGGGTGCAGAGTGGACCTCAGTCACTGTGTGTCCTGAATGAATAGACCAGCTGGCTTACCTAGTGGACAGGCTGCCCACAGCCATAGGGACGCTTACCTTCTGGACCGTGAAGGTGCGTATGACGTATTCTGCCAGGGGCTCTGTTTCAATCAGGGTGACTTTAATGTCGCCGTAGACCTCCGTGTCATCCGGCCAGTATCGCACACACTTCACCTGCGAGGAAGGACAGAGACGAGGACAGGTGAGCAGGTGGCTGGGTGCGAGCAGCCGCCTCACCTGGCTTTCCCGTTCAATTAAACCCAAAGGTGACTTTGGTGACATTTCGGTCGGAAGGGTCGGCTGGCCAGGGGTTGGCAACGTGCACGGGGCCAAGCTCACTCCCAGAGGAATTGGAGCCCTTAGGAATAATGGTAGTACCTTCTTTTGCAGAGCTCCGTATCATTTTCAAATCCATTATCAAATAGATCTAGGCAAGCTAGGCAGATGGAATTCCCTGTGTTACAGATGAAATTAATATCCAAGTTTGGAGGTTTTGGTGGCTTGTCCTAGGTCACGTGGCCAGTTTTCTACCTTTGGCTGAATGGTCTGTCAGGCTGGGGCAGCTGATACCAGCAGAGCAGAGATGAGAATAAAAGGAGGGAAACAGTGAAGAGGGAAAGCAGAAGTGGTCGGAGAGGAACATCACTCTTCAGAGCGGGTAACCGGGGGCTGTGAGGACAAGGCTCTCTGTTGGGGAAGGATGGAAGGTGCTGGGCTCAAAGGGAGGACGCTGCCACTGCTCTCTGCTACCAACAAGCCATTCCCACATATGACTGAGTCAGATTCCACAGGAAGAACAAGAGATCATGGTTTTCCCCTTAAAAGAACAAAAGCATTACCATTCCGGGGGACGCCGCGCGGCCTAGAGTGGCATTTCCCACAGTGTGTTCCGCTGGGTGCTAATAGGTGTTAGGTAAAAAACAAGAAAACAAAAACAAACAGAAAAGGTTTTGTGGTCAAATGAGTTTGGGAAATGCTGGATTAAACAAAGATAAACAGGCTGTTTTGCTACAGGACTACTCAGCTGGCTTAATGGACTAATGCTAATGTTTTCTTTTCTTTTCTTCTTCTTCTGTTTGACTCTCCAAAAGGGGGCAAAGAGTATGGAGCATTTCCCAAACGTATTTAACCATGGAACCCTCTTCTCACTAAGCATCCTGCAGACTAGCATCCCATGGAACCCACTTAGGGAAACGCTGGTAGAGCGCAACAGGCTTTGGAGGCAAATGGGTGCATTGCATGATGCTAACACTCAGTAGCTGTGCAGCTTCCAGAAAGGGCTGAGACCTCTCTGAGCCTCAGCTTCTGTTAATGATGATAGCTATCCTGACTGAGTGCTGACAATGTCTCACACTGTCCTCTGCAAACACTTTCCTGCATTATTGTAATAGCATCACTATAACCATATAGATATCATTATTCCCATATTACAGATGAGGAATCAGAAGCACAGGGAGGCTTAGAAAGTTGCCCCAGGTCAACAGTTAGGAAGGGATGGAGCCAGGATGCAAAGCCAGGGCACCTGAATAATTGCCAGCAGAAGATCTGGTACCGCACTTGGCTCCTGGCAGGAGTTCCATTAGAGAGGGCTCTACTGCCCCCTTCCCAAATCCAAATGAGCTTCACGATTCACCCCTCCAGGGAACCTGTCTTCGATGTGGGATGCGTTACAGAACAGGCTGGAATTTGCCTCTGGGTTCTTAGTCCTGGGATGGCATTTGTCCGCAGTAGGCACAGCCTGGGCCTCAGTCCCTGGGGAGCAGTCCTGGGTGGGGGCACCATGAGCACTAGAGTGAGAGTGGAGTTGTAGACCCTGTCCTGGGTCTGGCGGGGTGACGTCAGGGTAGTTACTCCATCCCTTTCCTCACCTGTAAACTGGGGAATGGACTAGACAAGAGTGGGCTCAAGGATCCAATCTCTCCTGGCTCTGAACTCCTAGGAAGACACAAGACGCCCACAGCCCTTTCCTGGGTTATGACTCACAGCCCAGATCGCCCTTCCCCGCTATCTCGGAGGCCGGGACCCTATGGAACAAAAACTTACCTCCCCCCTCTTTCGTCAGCCCTCTGAACTCTAGTGTGTGTGCACCCTGCCGTGAACCCTGCAGCCCGCCCGCCCACACGCCACAGTTTACCAAGGTGGCAGCCGCCCGCTGGGCACAGCCTCCCATTTCTGAGCCCTAGGAGTAGCTGAGGACCACACAGGGGAGGGTGAGAGAGAGCAGAGCGAGAAACCAAGGCCTGAACCCCAAAGAAGGTGGAGGTTGAGAGGTCAGAAGCAAAAGGTCAAATGCTGCTGAGAGGTTGAGTACAATGAGAAGAGAGAAGTGGCTGCTGGATCTGTCCCCATGAAGGATGTTGGTGATTGACAGCATCGCTGTGGATGGGATGGAGGAGGAGCTACGCTGGAGCGGGCAGAAGAGAGCCGAGTGCAGACACGGAGCCTGCGTACCAGTCTTTAGAGTTTGGCAGAAAGGGAGGAACAAGAGCATCCTTCCTGTTCGCCTGTTTCACAGTGTTAAGGGGGAAGGCACTCAGGAGGTTTGCATGCAAACACCTAGCAATTAGAGAGTTACTTTCCAAGTGAGGGGGGCCTTGAGAAAATTCCTGAACAGAATCTGTGATTCAATGCCCTGTGGTCGCCTTGGAAGGGCAAGAATCACTTCCTCCTTCATATTAGGCTGAGCCAAAGAATTGGCCGATATTCTACCTTTTGGGGTCAACAAAAACAGTCATTTTTCCGGTTCAACCTGACAATAGAGAGAAGAATGAGATGGTTGTAGACACAAGTAGGTACAAGCTTTGTGATGTGAAGATGGCAGCGTTCACGTCTGATGCCTTACATTTCCTCAGACTCTATGAGATGACGTTGTCCTCGGAGAGCGAGGGTGGAGAGAGGAATGAGGGGTCTGAGGGAAAAGGACGTTCTTAGGGTGTGAAACAGAAGTGAGGATTTCTCCCTCCTAGGAGGCTGGGAGGTGAGATTTGGCACAGGAGGCATCTGGCACACCACATGAACAGACACATGCTCTGGTGTGCGCCGCCAGCACCCTCTAGCCAGGTCACTGCAGGAGGGGCTTACCCTGCCCACTTCCACGAGGTTCGTGACCATGACGATGCTGGCCGAGTTCTCCTGCCAGATCATTCTCCAGAAGTCCTTTACAGTCTCCTGCATCGGACCTGCCAACAGAGAAGGTGACGACAGGGTCAAAGGTCACAAGTGTCAGGAAGCAGCCAGGAGGCCGACCCTTCTGGCTGCTCAGCCCTGACTCCACATGGGTGAGTGACAGCGAGGCCAGAGAATCCTCGCGGGGGCACCCAAGTAGCTGGGACTGGGGCCTGAGGTGTGGGAGGTCAGAGCATGGATAAGAAACCCACATTCCAAGCAGGCAAGGTCTGTGGCTCCCCCGGGAGTGCTACCACCTTCTCTCCTCCTCCCTCACTCATCCTCCTGCTCAGCCCCTTTCCACCAGCCCCTGACCCTGACCCATCACCTTATCTATCTAATAACAGAGCTCAGTGGAGTTTTCCTAAAAATTGGGCTCCAGACCTCAATGAGACACTGGGGTAGAGGGGCGGTGCTGGGAGCCAGATGCTGAGAGCGCAAAGAAAAGATGCCGACTGTGAGCATTGGTCTGAAGCTCAGACAGAAGGGGGAAGTAGCCAAGGAGTGGGAGACAGGAAGGAGAATCCAAAGCCATTTCCTTGGAAAATCCTCCTTCAACATTCTGGGCTTTCATTGTTTTTAAAATTACAAGAGCAATATATGTATTGGATATAAAAGTTTGAGTGAGATACACACACACACACACACACACACACACACACACACACACACACTAGAGGCCCAGTGTACAAAGTCCATGCACTGGTAGGGTCCCTAGTGGCTGCCGGCTGTTGGCTGGGTACTCCCTCCGGTCTCCCGGCCCACCCTGACCCCTGGTCGAACTCCTGGACTACCTCCCCAGTTGAGGGGACAATTTGCATACTACACTTTTATTATACAAGCATATATCTATTAACAAGCATCACATCTATAATTTCTATTGTATGGATTTTCCCAAGCCCTTAATAATTCTTACCAAGCAGGATATTTCTCATAGCTGCATAATATTTCATAATAGGGAACTATCACACCTTAACCAATCTACCAGTCGTTGGGCACTTAAGACTTTTCCCTTGTTTCCTGTTCTGGATAACACCATGAAGAGTATCTTCATATACAAGTCACTGTCCACATATGCAGCACCCACAGGATTTCCTCCCAGAAGGTCTGAGAGGTACGATGGGTTGTCAGCCTTCTGATCACACTGCCAGGTTGCTCTCTAGCCAGTTGGCTGCTCCCTTCTTCTGGGCTCACCCCCACCAAGGAGACAAGGCACCATCGGGTCTGCTTCTGGGTGGTGGATATCAGGGGCACCCCTGAGCCTGATGCTTGAGGTCCGTCCTGCCTGACCATGTCCTGGTGCCACCTCCTTCCTCTCACTCGGGCCCCTCCCACGGTAGCTGAACTTGTCACCTCCTTCCTCCCCAATCAAACATTAGAGCCTCCAGACCTCCAGAGGCTCTCCAGCCTGACCCTGTGCAACTTCTTCCCTGGCAGAAGCTCATTTATTTCCTCAGTAAAGGGCGAGGGCCCTTTAGAGGGAAAGGAGGGCACTTACCTTGAGTCGCAATGTAGTGCCGAGGTCGATGGTAGCCCTGGGTAACAGAGAAAATCACAGTGAAGGGCCTCCCGCCAAGCTTGCAAACAGCAGTAATTATCCTTTCCAAGACACGGCTTCCTCATAGGCAAAATGGGAATAGCATTAGCCATTTCCCAGAGAAGTGGCAGAGATGAAATGAGATAATGCATACAAAGTGCTTAGTAAATCACCGAATGTTCGCTATCACTATATGACTATAGCTGGGAGGTGCCCATACAGGCTTGCCTTGGAGCCAGTGGACAGGGAGCAACATTAGGTGGGCATTACTTATGCCCATGCACCCAGAAAGAGGTGGAAAAGAAATTTTGGGATTTCTGTGGGACATCAACCACCAAAAAGTTTTTCCTGGGCCATGATTATGTGCAGAACCCTGCATGAGGCCCTGTAGGGCCCCTGGGAGAAGAAAATAATTGCATTCGTGGCTCCTTGCATTAGAGACAATTAGAAAAACAACACTGGAACAGATGCTACACGGCCTCCCTGTGCGACATGGCTGGGCTTGGAATCGCAGTCCTGCTCATTGGGAGGACCCCGCATAGGTGTGACCCAGAGGATGACAAAGCCACTTTTTGATCCCAAGATTTCCCTGTATCTTACAGAGGGGTCCCCTAGGCCCTGCAGGGTTCTGGTGGGGGTGACTCTGCTGCCCCATAATCCTGATAGTTGGAGAAGAGGTTGAAGATGACTTTCTCTTTGGCCTGGACATGGCACACATGGAGGATCCTCTCTCTTTTACAGAAAAGAAGCGTATCATATTGGGGAAAAGTTCAAGTCTCGGAGGCAGATCTGCATTTAGCACATAGCACTGAATGTAATTAGCATTTATTGACTGAATAAACGAGTTAGTGAATGAATAAATTTAAGAAAACACACATGTGAATTATGGAGTCTGCTGGTGGAGAGGCTGTTGACAGTCCTGAAGACCACTTTCCCTTACGGATAGCCATCTCAGGAGATGCAGATTCCTACAGTTTGATGAACACCTATTTCTGTCTTAAGCTTTGGTGGCCAGACTTTCTGTCCTGCTGAGGAAGAGGAGCTGCCTCAAGACCGCCTTCTTCAGGACTGAGCCAGACTTGCCATCTGTGTGGCTTATGGTGAAATAGACGCGGCATCGTTGAGGTTCTGGATCTGCTTTCTGATCCAAAGACTAGTTTCTGAGTCCTCCGCATTTCTCTACCTGTCTTCCACCTGCTCCATAAATATTTACTTAGGGCCTTCTAATCACTGGTAATGCTTGGGTTGACCGTCAGTACAACCCAAGGCCAATGTCATGACCAGAACTGTGGGACTGACCACCAGTAATCACGGCCCCTTCTTACGTCTGTGTTTGAGTGGGACTATCTTCTTAGCGAGGCTGGCAGCTTCTTGAGGACAAACACTGCCTCCTAAGTGAAAAAAAGAATCCCACAGAGCCCAGTACAGCATGAAACTCTGAGCAATGCCCAACAAACAAGCTGCTGAGAGGACAGCGAGGAGGTAGCACAGCGCTGTGATTATGCACACAGACCCTGGACCTAACTGCCTGGGTTTGAATCCCGGCTGTGTCCCGTCCACGCTGTGTGGTCTGGGGCAAGTTACTTAGCCTCCTTGGGCCTCAGCTGATTTTTTTGCCGTTCAGTGGAGATAACAGCATTTACATTATAGTGTTGCTGTTAGGATGAAATGACTTAATAGACAACAGTTCCTCTGTGCCAGGCACTATTCTAAGATTTAACATAGAGGTCTTTGTTACTGTTGTTATTTTATAGTTTGTGTGCAAACATTTATCGAGTGTCTATCACAACTAAAAGTCAGTGTTGGCCCCTAGGGAGGCCCTGAGCTGGTAAGCCCTCCTCCCCTCCCCTCTGTTCTGCTCTGCCTATTAATGCAGGGACTGGCCTCTTCTTGGGACATGAGAGGTAGGAAGGCAGGTGACAGGTGCAAAGAGCTATCTCTCCCTCCAAGTCAAGGTGGACAGAGTTTCCCAGGCTCACAGGGAGAACTCAACTCTAGGAGTGTTCTTGAGTAGGTTTGGGAATGGAAAATAGTACCTGAGAGTGTGGAAAGATGTGGTTTCTCAGTCTACCTTCTTCTTACTTCTTATAGTCCTCATCCTCCCTGACCTGAGCCATGGCACCAGCCTCTTGCTGGCCTCCCTGCCTCCAGTCTGGCCCCACAGCCCATCTGCTTCCCGCCAGAGTGAATTCCCAATGCGCATCTGATTAGATTACTTCCCACAGAAAAGCTGCAGCGGCTCCCACTGCCTGCACAGTAATGTCCAAATGCCTTTGCCTGGGACTAGTCATCTGTCTCCATCCTCGTCCCCGGCTTCACTTCCTCTTGCCCCTCTCTGTCCCCTTCCACAGCCCCTCCTGCCTGTGTCCCAGCTTCCCACACTGCACTTCAAATGAGACCTCCCGCCTCCTGAGAGGCCCTGCAGGGCTCTGTATGTGCCCAGTTACCACACTCCCAACATGCACTGCGTTACGCTTTCTGTGCTCCCCCCCTCCTCCCCCGGGCCATGGGACAGGCCACCAGAGCCGGGTGCAGTTTTCAGCCAAGGCTGGTTGGTGGCATACAGGCATGAATGTCTCTGAGGTGAGGTTGGTCACTCTACTGGATGCACCAGCCAGAAGACAAAAGACCCCGTGGCGGAAACTGACGCAGAAGACCCTGATGCGCTTGAAAGTCGATGGGATAAATTCTGAGCAAGAAATTCACGTTACCATTGTGGGGTTAGGTGACTTGGGTTCCTAGTGTGTTCACTCATTTGTCCTCTCGGTCATTCGATATTCAGTCAACAGGTGTTAACTGAGCACCTACTACCATGGACAAGGCCCTGGAAATACAACAGTGAGCCAGATGGAGGTGGACTCTGCTTCTGAGCAGCTTACCGGCAGCAACACACTGGGGTAGGGGAAGGGGTGGGGCTTGTGGAGTTCCCATGGGGAACTGATTTAGCTAAGAAGGCAGGGAAGTGTCCTCTGAGGCGGCCTGGTAAGCCCAGCTTGGGCATCTCAGCATCACTGCTATTCCCGTTTCATCCCCGTAGCCATACCCCCGGTTTTCCTGCCGCTGCCCCTGGGCTCACCGGCTGTCTTGCTCTTCTTCAGAACAATCACGTTTCTATCTGGAGGCCTTAGCAATGGCCATGCCCTGTGCCTGCTGTGTCTGTCCCCAAACAGCTGAGCACTTGCTCTCTCTCTCACCCAGGCTTCTGCTGGCTGCCCATCACCTCCCCAGAGAAGCCTTCCTGCCCATCCTGTCAGCCTCTTTCTGCTGTCTCTACTTTCCTTCTTTTCAGAGCACGTATCACCACACGGCACAATGTTCTGTGTTTATTGACATCCTTATTGTCTGTTTCCCCCGTGGAATGAGAGCGCCAATGGGCAGGGCTGTGTCCGGCTTTGCTCACGGCTGTGCCAGCCCAGAGGGTCTGCCTGGGCCACCAGCCTTGATAAATGCACAGTGAGTGCGTGCCTTCCCATGCTGCGTGTGAGCAGAGAGATGCTGCCTGGCCTCCAAGAACCCATACGGTCCCCAAAGAGAAAACATTCTAACCACGAGCGAGACTCCAGTAGTGCTGATGAAAGGAAATGAACTGCTCCACGGGGGCTCCTCTGGGGACCTGCCGAGAGCTGGACAGAAGACTTCCTAGCCTTAAAAGAACTTGGAGTTCATTGAAGCCCCACCTATACAGCACGCAGACCGCCTGCCAACCAGCACCGGGCCGGCCTGCATCTGTCTGTGAGCAATGGGAAAGAGGTTTGCATCCAAAACACATTCATCTCACTCTGCACTCGTGCATCTGTTACTTGCTGGGGACCCAGATATGATACTCACTTCCAGGCAGGTAATTTATAACAGATTCAAGTGGCCAGCACATTCTCAGGTGTGCAAACATCGCGGCCAGCGGGATGGTTCCGGCTGCAGCAGAACCCTGGCCTCCGGAGGCACAGAGAGGGCCAGCCCATTCTGCTCATTGTCCATATTGAGTCGGTTTAATGGATTGTCCAGATCCCATTGTGGATAAGTGGTCCTAGTGCGGGCATTGGGAGAACTGGGAGGATTTGGCTGGAGTGGAGACCAGGACAGAGAGGCGAGGACAAGAGAGCGGTCTTGAGCAGCGATTGCCAACCTTTTGGACCTCACTGGGCCACCAGTGATCCACGGACCACCGGTTGGCGACCGCTGGTCTAGAGTATCGACTTGGCAGGAATACCCACAGAAACCCTAGGAGGTTTAGCTTTGCTGGAGTGTATAGCAGGTTCACAGTGAACGGGACTTTTCTGGCCTCTGGCCTTGGGGACACTACACCCCACCCAGTGGGTCCCCCTCAATCCTGTTCCACCCTTATTAACCTCTCCTTTGAGTGAACCTCTGTTTCCCAGGGGGACCCTGACAGACAGACACCTTACATGAATTATCATGTTCTTGTGGAGGGACATGACTATCCCATGTTATAGATATCAGAACAAGTAATAATTTACCCTAGACAGAACACTAGTAAGCAGAACTGCCGGGGTCCAATGGGCCCTATGAGGGCTGAATTCATGACTTTGGTCTGTGAGCCCTTGACTTTAACACTGAGACCCGCACAGAGCCCAGCAGCACATATTAAGACAGCATCTCGCAGAGGCTGCCTGGCTGTCTGCACACCCTGCTCCTTAGGGAGGGAGAGGGCAGTGGTGTGTCCTGGGCAGGCAGAGAATGGATTCTAGCTGTGTGACCTTCAGCAAGGCTCTTAACCTCAGCCCTGGCTGCTTTTCTTCCTGGCCTACAGAATGCATTGCAATGACAGGGTCTGGGAGAAATGGGAGATGCTATTAGTATTGACACTGCAGAGATTTGCTTCCCTTTACAACAATTTCATTTGTTGCCTATAACCACCAAAGTGCACTTTGGCTCTAACTACAGTCAGATGCTCACCTGACTTTGGATGGAGTGTCTATCTGGAAAAGTGATTTCTGCTGGAGGTTACCACTCACATGACTCAGGCCTGCAGACCCCACATGGGCCATGGCCCTCAAGGCTAACACATCCACTCAACTGCAGACAAGACCCCACATGGGCCATGGCCCTTGAGGCTAACACATCCACTCAACTGCAGACAAGGTCAAGGGGAAATGGAAAGGACCGACTCAGTCTGGTTCAGCACACACAGGAGGGGCAGTGGGAAGAGCCCTGGACTTGGAGCCATTCGGGTCTGGTTCCTTGCCTAGTCCTGCTGCTGACCAGCTGCATGGCCTTGGACAAGCTTTGCAATCTCTGCTTTCCTATCTGGAGAATGGGGTGGCTGCCTACCTTGGCGAGCTATTGAGAGGTCCCAATAAACTGACTCACTTAAACCACCCACCACAGGGCTCAGGAGCGACTCATGTAGCACCTCTGGCTCTTGTCATTGCCTTTCTGTTGTTACTAAAGCCTGCAGGGTGTGGAGGGGGAGGCACCCCTGACTCAGACTCCTGCTCCCTCCTCCCTCACCTCCTAGCAGTGTGATCCTGAGGAAGTTGCATGACCCAGAAGCCTCAGCTTACTCTCCTGGAAATTACTTTGTGAGGTTGTGGTGCTAGTTCAGGTCATGCGGAAACAGAGGAGGTGATGAGTAATTCTTAGGTTGCTGTCAGCCCTTCTTGCCTGGCTGACTTTTACTCACAGATAAGGCAGCACTGTGTTTCCTCCTCCAGGAAGGCCTCACTGATTTTCCTTTGTGCCTCCATAGGCCCTGCTCTGTGCGGGTCTCTTTTCTAATCTGACTCCCTCATCAGACTTGAGTCCCTTTTAAGGTCTGTGTTCCCAGCGCCCTGTGGAGGATCGGCTCAGTGCTCAGGGAATGAACCCTAATGCGCGGGAAAGGCTGAGTGCTCAGGTGCAGAGTAGACACAGACACACTCACACACAGGCTGGAGATGACTGTTCAGAGCTGCCATCTCCTGTGCGCTTTCCTGGAAGGGCCAAGGTGGCCGAGACCATGTCTATTGGGACTAAAGCTCCAGCCCCAGTTTCTGACAACCTGTGGGGCCTCTGTTAGCCAGGGTCGAGGAATTCAATGTAGGGAGTTGGTCACACAGGTGATAAAGGAGCTGAGGAGCCAAACAGGGAACAGTGGGGCAACCAGAGGTCAGCAACAGTGGGAGGCTGCGACCACCCCTAGAACGAGCAGACAGTGGGAGACACATGCTGCCAGGGCCCAGGAGCTTGGACACCTGTGGAGGCCAGGCCTGTGGCAGCCTGACTGACAGGAGCTGGGGCCATGGCAGGACGCAGCCACTGCTGGAGCTGTCACCCAAGGCTGAGAAAGAGGAGAAGACATAGGCTGGCTTCTCCTCTTCACCCTCCAATCTCCCTTTAGTGCTTGCCATGCAGGGGTCAAGCTCACTTCTTTTCCTGCATATCTTTCTCTCTCTCTCTCTCTCTCTCTCTCTCATATGCACACACACAGATACACAGACACACACATTCACATAGAGAGACACACACTCATACAGACAGACACACACTCATACCAACAATATAAAGCAAAACAAGGAAGCACAAGCAATAGATCGAAGGGCAACAGGCAAATGAGCAACACAAAGCTAATGCTTGTAGAATTAACAAGTCATCTGGTTTGAAAGCATTTTCTAGCTGATCTATAAAACACTTGCGAGTCCGAGGAACCCCGGTGGCTCTCTGAGCCCTTCACCAAGGCCCTTGGCTGCCAGCTGAGGTACTGAGAAGCCTGGCTGGAACCAGTCACCCTGGGTGTCCACCTGGCCCCGAGGTCATACCCCCCTTTGCTCCCTTTCCCACTCCCTGGGCGCCTGTCTTGGCCCTGATTGTATTAGTTCCCTCCTCAATAGTCTCTGGACACTGAAGCGCCCCTTTCCTATTCGGTGTCCTGATCCCAGCCTCTGATCTCTCTCACCCCTGGAATACGCCAGTCATCCCAAAGCTCAGCTCTGACTGGTCACCTCCTGGATCAAAGCCTTTCCATTGCGGTTTCTTGCCTGCAGGATAAAGCCCGATTCCTAAGGTTGGCCCTAGACCGCCCATGGCCTAGCTCCAACCATATTTCCCACTTCTTCCATTTCGGAGTCTGCTCCCCTCGAACTGAGCAGGGGCATATCCACACTCCAGCTGCTGCATCTCAGCTCGGCTGTTCTCTCCAACCAGGGACCATCTTCCTCCTCTTTGCTTTCCAATGCTACCGGTGCTTGAAGCTTTGGTTCACACCACATTTTGCATTCCTGATGGAAGAAGCAATTCCCCCCCACCTCTGAACCCCTGTAGCATTTTATCTGAACTTAAGACTCAACCACTTTCTAGCTCGTTCTGAAATGATTGATGGGCACAGCTTATCTTCCTGCTAAGGTTTTAGAGGGTAGGACCATGGCATCTTAAGCTTTATGGTTCCCATAGCCTCCAGCACACAGTAGGCACTTTTAAATTCTCGTTGTCTAAATGGCTGTACCTTCAAATGAATGAATGGATGAATGAATGGATAAACAGACATGCATACAAATGAGTCAGTGGTGAACAAACAAGACTGGCCTTTGTCCTGGGGGCCCACAGAGCAGGCTACTCCAGCCCGCCTGAAGGTAGGCAGCTTTAGGTGGAGAGTTAACATGGGTCACGCTAATTTCACAAAGCAGGGAGGAGCCAGGCGGCTCTGGACATGTTCTGGGAAGGCCACCTCTGGGGGAGAGTCAGGGGACAGCCACAGATTTTGAGCCTACGGTAGTCAACCCCAGCCCCTGGCTGCCCAGCCCACAAAAGCACTCACATCAATGTAGTTGGCGTTGATGTAGTCGGAGTGTGGATCTCCATCCAGCACCAGCAGCCTCACTCGGGAATGGTCATCTGCAGGGGGGTTCGGGGGGGAGGGGGAGAGAGAGAGAGAACAAATAAGAGAATGAATGAAAAGACACCATCAGGTGAGGAGCCAGCCCTGCCCTCTGTTAGAGCCACTTTTGTTAATTACTGCACACTTGACATCATGAGACTTTTGCACAAAACTTCTCATGTAACCCACCAGCTACCCTCAGTTATTGTCCTCATTTACAGATGAGGAAGCTGAGGCCTGGGGAGATTACTATGCCCTAAAGAGGACCTGTATCTTCTCTTTTTCCCACCTATCGTCCTGATGGCTTTGTCATTACCACCTAGGTGAGTCTTAGTGATTTTATCTTAAAACTAGAGGCCTGTTGCACGAAGAGATTCATGCAATAGGCCTTCTTTTCCCCTGGCTGCTAGCACCAGTTTTCCACCGGCACCCGGCACCCAGGCCTTCACTCTGGCCGGGCTCCAGCTGGAGCCGGCCCCAGGGCCATGAGGCTTCTGCTGCTCTGCCGGCCCCAAGACCTTGAGGCTTCTGCTGCTCCGCAGGCCCCGGGGCTGTCAGGCTTCGCTCCACCACTTGGAGCCTACATATGCAAATTAACCACCATCTTTGTTAGGTTAATTTGCATACACGCCTGATTGGCTGGTTAGCATAGTGAAGGTACGGTCAATTTACATGTTTGTCTATTATTAGGTAAGATGGGGATGGAAATACCTTCTCCATAGACAGTGCAAGGGAGACTACATGAAAAGTCTCGGGAAGCGAGATGTGTGGATGGGGATTAATGCGCTTCATTTTCATGCTTGTTTAAAAACAGCAAATTTACCTATTTTCCACTTGGGCACAAATTGCTTTTCTTTTGCCTCTTGGAGTATTGCTGCAAATAGATTGTCGGCCACATACTGCTATCAATACTATCATTCGAGCGGAGCTGACTAAATCATTATAAAAGAGGTCATCAATAACTGAAAACCGTGTCACAGAGCATACCATTCCAAACACAATCTAGGCATAAACAAGATTTGCAGGCTTTGGTCGATGGCACGCTGGCTTCAAATAACACCAAATAAAAACCATTAAAAAAAACAAGTACAGCAGAAGAATCAGACGAATCTTTTACAATTAAGTAAAGTGAGCTCCGCTATAGACACAGACACATGCAATCAGACCGCCCTGGCTGGGTCTGGCTGGGAGGAGGGGCTCAGCTGGCTGCCCAGGTCACTGTGCAGGTCCCTGAATGACTGGACATGACTCTAGGGCAGGGCTAGGGTTCCACATCAGTGGGTGGCAGAGCTTTGAGCATCCCCAGGGCCCCATGCGGCAGGTCCTCATGGTGCTCGGTGACTGTATGAATGGATGACCTCACTGGACCCTGACAGTGATGCTGGGAGAGAAGCAGGATGGGTGCTGTTAGCCCATGATACAAACAAGGAAACTGAGGCTCACAAGGACTCACTGGCCATGGGCAGGGGGAGATGGAGCTTGGAAGAGCAGGGTCCTCTCAACTCTAGGTCCAGGTCCTCCAGACTCCAAAGAGGGGTCTATGTGGATATGAGAAACCACTTCAAGTGTCCAGAGCAGAAGGAATTAACGATAGAGACGTGGTCACCTGGGTGATGGACACGTTGAAAAGCCAAATAGAAGAAGGTGAAGAAACTCAGAGGCCAGTATGGTGTCTCCTTAGGCATGCCTCCTGAGGGACCGTGGGGCAGAGGGAGGAGGTGGAGGTCCTGGAGCTCCGGGGCTGGGGCACCTGTGGGGACCGTAGCTGCAGTGGCTTCTTTGGTGAAAGCTGTAGAAAAGTTGGAGCCTGTGGTTGGGACAGACGGGGAGAAATACTCCTCCCCGGCCTCTTCCTTTCTCCCACATTCCAATCTCCCACCGGTACCTGCCATTGGCCAAACCCAGACAGAAGCCAGCCACCCAGAGACTGAGAAATGCAACCTGCAGAGTCAGCTCTCTCTAAGCAAAAAGTGAGCGGGAGCAGGCACGGAATGGGTCCCAGGATGAACACACAGGCCCAGGACTGGGCAGCATACCACGCCCTAGCCATTAATTCACTAACTAATTCATTAATTAAAACACTATTCATTCAGCATCTGCCATGTGCCAGCAGGGTGCTAGGCACTGAGATATACTGGATGCCACTTCAAAAAAAATACTATATTTTTATTGATTTTAGAGAGAGGAAGGGAGAGGGTAAGACAGATAGAACATTAATGATGAGAGAATCATTGATTGGCTGCCTCCTGCATGCCACACACTGGGGATTGTGCCCATAACCCAGGCATGTGCCCTTGACCAGGAATTGAACTGTGACCTCCTGGTTCTTTGGTCGATGCTCAACCACTGAGCCATGCTGGCCAAGCCTGGATGCTGCCTTTTTACTCATCATGGGGAAGAGTTCCAGTGGGAGCTAGTAAGGGAATAGGTGGGAGGTCTAAGTCACTCCTTTGGGTGGCTGGGGGAGTGGGGTGTGAAGGAGTCTGAAGCTAACCTTTATGGAGGTAATGACAGGTACCAGAGACTTCACATCCATGACCTTAATCCATCATTTATTCCCCCAAATAGCTGAATAGGTTATTGTAATAATACCATTCTGATGTAGTGTTATTATTCATTCCGTTTCACAGATGCAGAAATTGAGGCTCAGAGAGATTAAGCAAGTTTCCCTTGTTACACAGTTTGTAAGTAGCAGGGCTGAGATTCTATCCCAGGCCTGTCTGACCCTGGACCTGGTTCCGTCCACACGATGTGTAGTCCCTGGACTCTTTACATCTCCCAGGCCCCACTCCTGGAGTCCGTGCAAGTGCTTGGTCCCCAACCCCTCAGTATTCTAGCCCAGAGAGGGGAACTTCCTGCAGGACAACCCACCCAGCAGGGGTCACATAGGGCCCAGCATCGAACTCTAAGCTCGGGCTGTTAAGCTTTGTCACCAGAGGCTACAAAATCTGTAAGCCTTAAAAAAGTGAAAATGCATATTGTGTTTTCACTCATTGGTCTCACTAATGACTTATCGATTCAAAAATCTCCTTTACTTACTGAGTTATGCTCCAGGGGTCTACAGCACTGGGAACAGAGATTCTGGTATAAAATGTTGAAAGGTAATTTTCTTTAATATATAATGGAACTTAAAATCTGAAAGCCAAAGCTATTAAAAACAAAAACAAAAGGAAACAAACGTACTTCGTTCAATATTATTAAAGATGAACGTTGCCTCTAACTGCCAGATGATGGGGTTTGCCAACCTTCATTCATTGAGCACCTACTATGTGCAGGCTTGTTGAGGGGATTCAGAAAGTGTTATGGAAGTGATGCTCAAGCATAAGGAGTATCAAGCATAAGGGGACAGACTGCACTTAGAAGTGAAACCTCAAGATCTAAAAATAGAGAATAGAGGGCTTTGTGGAGCAATATATGAATGAGGAATTAAAAGTGAGTAAGACTGTCCAGTGGACAATGAGGAAGGTCTTGCCATCAGAGGGACCTGCAAGGGGGAAGGCAGAGCTCCTGAAAAAGCAGGCACACTGTGAGCTGAGGAGTTCCTGTCTTGTAAATGCAGAGTGTGAAGGGATTAGCAGTAGGAGAGGAGACGGAGGAGGTGGCAGGGCTAGATGACAGAGGGCTCGCCACGCCATACTTGGATGCAAGTAACCATTCCCTGGGGTCGGCAGGGCGTCC